AGCCTGCCATACTCAACACATGTATACATTCCAGCTTGCACTAGATAGGATTCAGCTCGCACGCTCTCTATTCCGATCTCGCGCTCACTGCTGCTTCAATTTCGAATCTCTGAAGGTAACCCGGACACTCCGGGACAGTGCTTTGGTAAACACCTCGAGGTAACGACATGGACAGAAAGGTTCCCACCTTTCGAACATATCAAACCTCGGAAGAGAACACCCAATGCACTCAACACCCCAAAGCACTCCTTCAAAGAAACTCGAACACCCGTAGCACCGCGAGGAAAGGGAGATCCACGAGCTGAAAGGGAAAACAAGCGACATGGCAGGTGAAGCCACGCTGGTGAAGCCAGGGGTCTGCAAAACCGACACGACCGACCGCGTCAGCCCAATTCGTCTTGGACGGAATATACTCAAAGAAGAAAGAGGTGCGTAAGGCAAACATGGCAAGATGAATGAGTTGGGCCAGTCGTTCCAAATCGGGCGAACTCGAACGGCCCCGAATCAAAGACATGAGAGCAGCAACATTGTCAATGTACCAGAAGCCACGCCTGCCACGAAAGGACGGGGCTCGGACTGCGAGAGTCGCAAGCTCGAGCTGGGCGATTTTCTGATCACCGGGAGTAAAGCACTCATACACTTCCGGACCAATCGCGGCCACAAAACTCTCCCGGACCTCAGGCTCATCAAGCCAAACCAGGTGGAAGCCGCCTGAGCCTTGACCGGGATCATCCTCGGCTGCGTCGCTCGCAGCCAGAAAACGGGGCCACACCCGGGGAAGGATGTCGAACTCTCTTTCCGGACGAGCGGCCAGCACTGCCCGTATGAGAGCAAAACAGGAATGAATCGGCGGGGTCAACTCCCTACCGCCCTCATCTGCCCGCTCACGGATCGCGCGCAACCCGCCGGCCGCGACACGCCCATACATGCCTTGCTCCAAGAAATTGCATGCGCCATAAATTTTTGCAGCAAGCCCTGGAGGCAAGGACTGCGTCTGCACTGCCTGTTCAATGAGGTCTTGGACCTTCTCGACAAGCCGATCACGTCGCAAGCAGGCACCAAAGTCGAAGTTGAGGCCAAGGAAGGTACCGTACCCGTCGAAGCCATCTGCTGCCGCTTGGCGTCGGCAAAGGGGGAACCCAGGCAGGAATTTAGGCTCGCAAAAGAGGCCTGGGCTGAACCCTTCAAAGAAGCCCAGTCAGTAAGGTGGGCATCGTCAAAGTACATGGGGACCAAGATGGCCAAGAGCCGCCTGCCAAGGGCTTCCACTGCCCGGCTGCATCGATTGAAACTGGTCACCGCCAAGGCCAGTCCAAACAACAAGCCGGTGTAGAGCTGAAAAGCTGGCTCCCCCCACTCGGCATGCCACCACGCTACCACACAACAGCGTGGGGGGGAGGGGGGGGGAGGAGAACAAAGCACTAACTTGTTCGGGTCGGAGCTGAGTGCGGACTGACCGCCAGCATCTGCATTGTCGATGACGCGCTGCTTACCGCTGCTCTGCGTGATTACACATCTTGGGATAAGCCGGAAAGGCAAACCTGTCACAACGCGGAGCAATTCGGCATGGCGCATCGGCTCGGTGCAAAAGCCACTAGCAGCATCCTGGAGGCTCTGTGCCAAGAGGAAGTCGTCATCCCGGCTAGGCCGAAGCCGCCATACCAAACAGCAAAACGGCCGGGAGTGTCGGGTCACCCCACGACACGAGAAGACACAACAAAGCCAGCAGGCCGCTATCCCGGTGGCGGGTGACCTTGCGCAGCTGTGGCTGCTGGCGTGCTCGGAGGCAGGTGTCCACTCCGGCCCAACGCCGCTTCAGCTCCTTGATGGCACCCATCAAGCCCTGGCGCCTGTCCCTCAGGCACCCCTGTTCGCGAGCGGTCACCTCCGCCGCATAGCATAAGTCAAGGTCCACAACGCCGGGGTTTGCTCAAAGGGAGTAGGGTACCCAGGGTACCTGGCAAGGTCACGTGAAAGCTCAACACCGGCTGCAGCGGCGCTCGATGCGCCATGGCCCCCACCTGCTGACCCACAGCTGTCCGCTGCCACTGGGTGTGGTACAGCATCTCGGGGCCCTGGGTCAACTCTGAGATGTTATGCCGGAGCCGCTGGCGTTTCCGCCGCGCCACCATGAAGCAACAGGCATCATATCTCGCATCCCACCACTGGCCGGAGACCCACATCTCCGCTTCTGCGGGATGCACCAATGCAAGATATTGCTGGGGTTCTCGCGGATTGCACCACCACCTCGCTCAAGAATCTTCTGCTGCTCGTCAAGGACAAACTTGCAGGCGCAGTTATCCTTCGAGACACGGCGCTGATCACTAATGTTCAGGCCAGGCAAACCCATAGGATGCTCATGGCTACGGAGAGGGCGCGGCGCTGGGCGGCCACTCTCAAACTTGAGCGGGATTTCTCGAATATTCGTGCTGCAATCCAGAGCTGCCAACTGCAGGCAAGCCTGATCAAGACTGCTTCGAAGCTCCGACTGGAAGTCCCAAGGGACAGATCCTGGGAAGGATTGAGCAGTACATCCACAGGTCCTGCGCGCCAACCACAGAATAAGAAAGCCCGGGTCAAGGGAGCATTAGGGCCGCACGTAAGGTCCATCCATGAGGGGAGGTGCATCCGCAGATGCTTCCGCAGGTTCAGCATCACTCCCCGAGCCTCGGGGCACCCTCGCTTGACTTTTTCAGGGCACTGGCGGGCTCCATGCGCAGGCGAGCCACAGGCACGCTGATTTCGCACGATAACGCCGCACTTGTGCGCGCCCTTCTGGCACTTCGGATTGGAGCATTTACCCAGCTGAAAACCAGGACACAGTTTGGTACCATCAGCACAGCCGCCACACGCTTGCCACCAACTTTGGGTCCCTCCCGAAAGTGCGAAACCTGCAAAGCGGCTTGTGAAGCTGTGGTACCGGTGCCGGTCGCCTGGGCCTCCCCCAGACCACCTGACGCAGCCGTCCCGGTGACTACCCAATGTGCATCCCGTGCCTCCATAACCTGCTTGATGATGACCCCCAGTGGGGCTGTACCTTCGCGAAAGCGGGTGACCCACTCGCTGCGCTCCTCCATGTCCTTGGCCTGCGGCCACTGCAGCCGACAAGACTGGGGCAAGGATGAAACACATTTCTTGGCCCGAAACTAGTACGCCAGGGCGACATCGAGGGCGACCCCCACACACTCCACTGAAGAGGCGCGATAAGAACAGCCTCCTTGCTCACATCCACGCCTGGAAGTGGGTGCACTCCCGCCATAGCGTAAGCCAGGAGCAACGTGTAAAGTTTGTCCAGGTACGTCTCCACGTCCTTCGAAATGGACTCCTCCGTTTCCGTTTCGATCTCCTCAGTATACAGATTATCTCCCAACTTGTGCTTGCGTTGCACGGTTGTGAGCTGAAAGTAGAGTGGCAAAAACACAAAGCATCCGTTTGGAAAGCTCCCGAGAGACTCTGGACAGCAGCGAGTCCGCGGGATGAACCTCGGCCGGAAAACGCAAGCGATATAGCGCTTCCAAAAGGCTGTGTAACATCACGCAGCTCCGCGTCCTCCAGCATTGTGTCAAGGTCTGTCAGGGCCACCTTGGAGTGGTCTTGTTCTGAGGTAGAGAAATGGAGACGGATCGCCGCCCAAGCCCGCCGAAGACGGGATGTCTCCAAAATGGTCTTGTCGCCCAACCCCAGTTTGGCAACCCAACTCCCCACGTGCTCCTCATTGTCAAACAAGAACCGGAGCTCCTCCAAATGATTCAACCCTTCCGCAAGAAGCCTTGTCTGGCTTTCAGGCGCTAGGGAACAGTTGAGAGCGAGGGTGTCCAAGGACGTCTCGGGACCTGCGACATGCCGCCCACTCGCCTGTCATTCAAGCCTCGGCTCCCCGCCGACTGGGTCCCTTGCTTCTCAGCCACCTCTATGATGCTGCCACTGCCCACACTGATCCTCGCAAACGGGCCGTGTGCAACCGCGCACCCTCTGCAGGGAACTTGGTGTAGGGGCATTGGTGCTCCCTCACTGCACTACAGGGAACCCGCTGGCGTGCCCCTGTGCGACGACAGGTCTCCAACTCTCACCCGAGCTCCCAGGCCCTGGCTGCCAGGCGCCTCCGTCTTGTTTCAGTTAATGTCGGCGCTCTTTCGCAGATGGCATACGTGGAACTTCTTCAGCAAGGACGAGGCAGAGTCTACTGCCCCGTTTGCTTTTCACATCGCGGTGGCCTGCAGCTGGTGGGCGTGTCGGCTCGGCTTTGCTAAGCTACATGTGCCACGTGGCCCACCGGTGCAAGGCATGGGGCGTTGTGAGCATTGGCTGGACATCGACCCTCGAGCCCTGCGGGAGTGGGCTATGTCCCCATTAGCCATCACGCTGGGCCTGCGGCCAATCGACCCAAGCGAAGCTGCCAGAGTCCCCCAGCATGTGGAGGTCGCAGCAGTCCTCAGACAAGATAAGACTCTGCCGCCCAGGGTTGTGTATGTCGGACGCGGTCATCACTCACATCGGGCGTCGCCGTTTGTGCCAGGGCACAATTGTGGCCCCGACGAGTGGCTTGCGTTGTACGTGGAGCACACTGTCACACTGTCGCCAACTTGCAGACGGATTTGGTGCAACTTGAAGGCAAGGCGATCTCTTGGCCGGTTTGGTGTTCGATGCAGGCGTCCCCAAGGGGGCACCTCACCCGCCGGCGGCGGGTTCATACCGCCGTAGCCGCCAGGTGTTGCTGGCTGCTGTTGCCTCCAATCTGCCCACCCCGGTGAGTGCGGTCATTCCTTACGTGCATCAGGAGGCAGTGGTTTCGGCTTTCACCTCTTTCTTTCCTGCCGATCACCTCGCCGGATTCCGCTTCCCCATGATCGAGGATCTGATCAATTATTCTCCTCCCTTCACCGACTACCTGCAATGGTGTCGGGCACGTGATGAGGAGTGGGATGGCGCGTTGGTGCCACAGTTGGTAAGTGCTCAGCTGCGGCCTTGTGCGGCGGCAACGAGGTGAGTGCTTTCTCCACCTGAGTCAGATCCAAGCACCGAATCGGCAGGGCTGGCGGAGTCTCGACGGGACCTGTCTGGTCCCGAAAATCGGGTGTGGTAGAGGGAGTCGGCATATCGACCCCCGTCGAGGTCCGAGTGGGGATTGGCAACTTGTGTGGTATAGAGGTCAGAATAAAAATCCTTGAGGCAAGTAATCTGTTGGTCATGAGTCCAAATTTCCCCCTCAGTTGAAGGGAGTGTTTGGGGTTTTTGGGCCCCAATCGCCCGGCAAGCTGGAAGAGTGCACGGGTGTTGCCTCCAGTTCCATAGTCTGGACTTGCGTGTGAAGCCAATTGACCTTGGCCTGTCGGGCACTTCGTTGAAAAGCCTTGTGCGCTTTCTGGAAGCGGGCATAAGCTGCCCAGGCCTGCCAGATGGTGCCGGGACGACCGCTCGTAGTGCCTCTCCAGACACGATAAGCTTGCCACATTGCTCGGACCGAGAGAGCCGCTTGAGGCTCCTGCCAGGGCACGATGCAGCCATGCTGGACCCGACCTGGGAAAGTAACATGCGCCGCGTGAAGTAGAGCTTCGTTCACGGCCTCAACCGATGCTTGAGGATGCAACACAATCCAATCATTGACCATCTGCCGGAGCTGCTGAGTTTGAGGATGCTCAGGGTTGCGACACGCCTGGACAAGTCCAGGAGTGCCAATGAGGGGCCTAGTGGAACAAGAGGTCTTCTGCAGATGCCGAGATGGGAAAGTGCTTGCCTCCTTTGCGCCAGCTGAAGAGGCTCCAAGCAATGGGGCCGGCGGCTCGGGCACTACGGTCTGCTTGGGAGTGCCTGGTGTAAACATGATCTATGAATGTGGACCCTGAAAAGTACACTTGGCGCGACGACTCCAGGAATTCAGCAGGAGCAGCCGGTGTTCCCGTATAATATCATGGAGCTCTCCCAAGTCGGGGGGATTACGTCCAGAGGTGGAGCACTTGACTCGGGACCCGACAAGTTGGTCGTCCTGAGGCGGCGGTGTGTTGAGGTCACCTGCAAGCATTAGAGTATGCCGAGCGGGCTGCCTACGTAAGAGAGCAGAGAGAGACGACCAAAGCTCCTTACGAATAGCCTTGGAAGTGCGTCCGGGCTCGGAGCCAGCTTCAACCTGAAGGGCGGTGGAGTGCACTTTTTGATAGACGTTTATCACGTCCACGGTGCACTCATTGAGTAGGACGCGTACGTGCTGCAAACGTCCAGCAATGATAGTGGTGTGGAGTATGTCCTGACTAGAACCTTTTTCTGGTACCCCGCTCATCTTGCCCCCTCGGGCGCATGGGTTGCCTGTGCGCATGTTCTCACACCTTGGCTCACGTTACGCCCGTTTGTGACTACGTTCTTACGAGGCGCGCCTCAGTACGCCTAGGTCTGCCGACCAGGCACTACATCGTGTCTTTCAGCACTGCAGGACTGTTAAACAGATCTGCGAACCTGCTAAGAGGGACATCCATGCTGCGCGCACTCAGCTGCCAACCGCTCGTATCCGAGGCGGGGGACTTCAGATCTCACTAGACCTCTCTCAAGCCTTCGATAGGCTTGAGTGGAACCTGGTCCATGACCCATTACGAGGCGCGCAGATCCCCAGTGATCTATACCATCTGATTGTCTTGTGGCACCGCCACTTCTTCTACCATATCAGAGTGGGCCAGGCCCACGCCTCGGTGAGCGTGGGTCGTGGAGTGCGTCAGGGCTGCAGCAGGATAGCCCCGCTCTTATGGGCCTTAGCGACTGCGGTGCTGGTTCGTCAACTGGACGCGCAGGTATGCACGTCAGCATCACAATCCTGGTCCGCTCGATCGCTTACGATCTTTGCAGATGATTTTCACTCCGGTGAAATTCTACATCACAAGGCCGAACCGAACTCCCACGCGCTGTCCATCGTCTTGGTCTGCTCCTTGACACCCTTGAGGAGGCGCACATGATCATCAATTGCAAGAAATCTGCGATGTTGTTCAGGTTCACGGCGGGATTTGCTGCCACGAGTCTTCGCAGCTACCTCAAACAAACAGAGGACGGTCAGCTCTTCCGTCTGTGCACCCCGGCAGGGCGAGTCCATGAAATACCAGTAAAGTCCAGTCATCCCTACCTTGGTCTCATCATCTCTTACCATGACTAGGCTACATGGACACGTCTTCGACCCTTGCTGACCAAGGCGTCTGCTCCTCGCCTTGGCTTACGACGTCGACTTTGGTCTGCCAGTGTGGTGCCTACTATGCTCTACGGCCTTCATGTCCTGCCTCTCTCGGCGCGTCAACTTGGACAGGTTCAAACCGTTTACACCAGGCATCTTCGTGCTTTGGCTCGCTCGCAGTCGCATCTCAGTTCTGAAAGCGCGGGAGCACTGCATACCCGTCTCGGCGTGCCCCTAGTGGCATGCATTCTGGAACGTCTGTCCAGATTGGCGACCACCTCGGCCGCTGGAGGCCCGGACTGTGAGCTACAAGAAAATTTCCGTGCCCTGGCCTCTTCTTCTGTGACCAAGGAAGCTTCCTTGGCACTCTCGGTCTCAGTTGTGCCGTCTGACAGTCTTTCATGCCCGACTCGTGGTGGCTGCTTTCCTGACAGTCGCACTCTCCGAGTGCACCAGGCCTCGCACACTCAATGTCGCCCTGCCGATTCCACTCTGGCTGGCCCCTCTTTCAGCCGTCAACAGCACTCCCTGCACGGCATGCCGCAGTGTGCTCTTTGTGGCAAGACTTTCACAAGATGGTCCATCCTGGTGGATCACATACAACTGCGACGGTGCGTATGTCTCTGCCCTGAGCTTGGAGATGTGTCAAATTCCCTCATCAAGACTCCTGAAAATTCTGTGCTCCTTCTGCCTGTCGCCCAATCCCAGGCTTTACCTGTTCCTGAGGCAGCTGATGAGCCCTCTTCTGTGCCTGACCCTGACCCCCCCCCCCCCCCCCCTCTGCCGCCGCCTCGGCTTCAGCAAAGGGACACCCTCTGCTCCCCTCCTGGCTCTTCCAGGTTCTGGCACGAACACACAGGCCACTGATCGTCTGCCTGTCGAGAGCATGTTCTTACTCAGGCCAGACACTCTGGCTGGCAGAGTTTGCTGGACAGCGCGGAGCTTCGAGATGAGTTGCGTCACCACTGCATGTTGTGTGGCCAGCGGTGTTCCACTGGTGCTGGTGTTAAAGTGCACCTGTCAGCCAGCATTCTTGACCGAGCAGCGATCTTCCGTAGAGCCCTCACGAAACCGTGTCCGTTTTGTCTAGAGCAGAGATTCGATTTGCAATCTCACTGGAAACGCTGCCACGTCATTACATCCTGCTGTTTTATCGAGATACTTGCGTGTGGCCATGGCACCTCCACCGACGGACGAGACTCCCTCGCAGACTCTGCCCTCGGAGGCTCATCAGGGACCTCTTTCCCAGTCCGCGAAAGCCCAGGAACTCGCGATGTTCTCCGACCTCATCTCCGTCTGCCATCCGGCGTCCTCGCTGTGGCAATCGTCCCGGAGGACAGTGGCCTCCGAACATAGGGTCATCGGCAGCCATCGTCGACCAAGGGCAAAGGAAAGGGCAAGGGCAAGTCCAAGCCACCCTCGTCGGATTCTTCCGGCGGACAACGCAGCCGCGGACTTCAGTGGGAGAGGCCTCGTCAGGACGAGGATTGGGCGCCCAGCTACTGCAGCAATCGTCTACTTCATCAAGTCGCACGCCTTGCACTGCGCCAGGAATCGCAAATGCAGATGCTAATCCAAGACGTCAGACTCCACTTCTATTTTCGGCCGGCTCCGCCGGCCTCGGTGCTCAACAAGTCGCGACCCGCTGGCGCAACATAATGAATACAGAGCCGGGCAAGCTCAGCATGAGTCTTCGTGAAACAATGCTTCGCGAG